AAGCTTGCTCATCGAAGTGGCTCTCGTGACAGGGCGCCGCTGGAGGCAGGACTTTGACGAGCCTTCCATCGAGGGAGGAGTTGAAGGTGTCCCAGGCGCTGGGATCTGGCCAGCAGCTGGATTGAAATGCGGTGCACAAACAATCGTGATCCAAGGACGACCGGGCATCGGCAACGAGCAAAATCAGTGCTAAGATAGCGATGGAGGAGCAAGAAACAGGAGGAGACATTGTGATTTGTGAGACAATCGAGTGTGAATGCTGGATGTTTATCGATAACTTGGAACTTCGTGGAAGTGCTATGGTTTGACTATCTCTCTTGGAAAAGTCTCGAGGTAACACGGGATCGTCAGCATCTTCTCGGCTTGCAGCCACACCCTCCTCGTGTCTATAGTCCTAGCTGACTATGGGATGAACCCAAAGGAGATTGATCAGTGTGTGTGTCGCGGACAGCGGGTGTGCTACGCAAGGTATCGATTTTGCGCGACGAGCAGCAGACAATGCCATGAAGTTAGCCACAAAACTCTGGAACTTTCCTAGCTTAAATTTATAATTCTATTTTATAGAATCTTCAGCAAGAGGAGTTTTGTTTATTTTGTTGTTTATTTTGCTCAGTTGTCGTGACTGAGCAAAGTTAAAATTTTGGAAATAGAGGATATGTGACACTCCTGGTAGGAGTAGAAAACTGAGCAATCACCTCCAAAACATAACATAATAATCCACCTTCTTGGTTTGGATGAAAGGTCCTAATCACCTTTTGTTACTTCCACTCTATTTAATAGGAGGGGAGGAATTCATCATCCATTTTTTTTTTCTGCAAGTGATTTTCCAATTGAGAATTATCAGAGGAAAATACGGGGATGGTTTGTCACGGCCCTATCAGAGTGGGATAACGTTGGTCACTATGTTCCTTGTTTCCTTTCATATGACAATTAATTTGTAAGAAAATAAAGTAGAGATAAAATGTACATATACTACATGTTGATTGCTTAAGGAACCAATATGTAATTTACAGGCCATGGTATGACGTTGCATGGGTCTTGTCACAACTACATATGCATGCTAAACCCATGCTAGCACGAAGATCAATGGCTAGAAAATCGATGGAATGGAGTTCTTATCATGATGACAAGCTCTTTTGGTTTTTGCTCGCCTGACTGCAAGAATGGATAGCTCTGTTTTGGATGAATGATGAGAACTCTCCATACACTGTGGCTCTCGTGCGTGCTACCAGAGCATTCCTCGCCGTTTGAATCATACGCAATGTCGTCGCTTGGAATGCACTGATGCAACTATGCGTCTCTAACCTCATGCTTTGACTAGCTGTGTTTGTGGAACACGCTCATTGCGGTGTTCACACAGCTAAACATGAGGCAATCGGATGTTGTGATTAGCGCCACTTCGATGATTGTTGCGCTAGTGTGGAGTTTGGGGCCACAATCGTGGAGCTCCACAGGATTTCAAGGCAAGATCTTGTTTCTTGGAATGACATGGCCCAAGTTTACGAGGATATTGGAAACCTAGCATGGAGAATCTTGATCCAATGCTGTGGGTGTGACATTGGCACTGCGGCTGGATCTCTCAACATCTGGCTTCACCAGATGAAGAACATGAGCTTTCACAGTGACTTTATCGCCAAGAACTCATTGTAGGGGATATTAGTTCATTTATATATCAAATGTGACTGTATTTTATTCTTTATGACCTTGATGGTTATATTGCAAATTGGTTATTCCTAAAGCAAACAAAAATATAATATACTTGAGCACATAAAAAATATATCCATTGAATGACTTTTAGCTACCATAAGTAATTATTTTATTCTTTATGTCGTGAATGGTTATATTACATAATTTTTTTTATGTACGTAACAAAGCATATAAAAATGTCATATCAAGCATCAAAAGATTTAATTTTCAAGTACATTTAGATCTCACTATTAAGTGTATTATTATTCAATAATACAATTGCATATTAAAAGAGCATGGATCACAAGAAAACAAACACAATGTTACTTAATTAAAATTTATAATTAACCATCTAGTTTTCGGTTGGGTGTTCACTTAAGGTTGCTTGGATAATAAAGACTTAAAAGGAACATCATGAATGTTTCAACCATATAAGTATTGTTCAGATATTGAGAAGTTAGTTTGAAGGTAGTCAATTTAAACAACCTCAATGTGGGGTGTTTTAGTTTCATGGATCTTGATAACGGTGTGATCAATAGAAATATGTGGATTTTGAACAAACAGCAAATAAATTTCTACAAATTCAATGTACTTTTCTTCCATTTTCCAAGTGAAAGAACAATTTGTTCTCTTCATAGATTACCCGAGAAGATCAGAAGGCTATGCAGCACAAAGTTGAGATTGTTGTCGTCAACGATCAATTCCCAGGACCATAAATCGACATTGAGGAGAGCAGTAGTCTGGACATCAAAGTAAACAACTTGTAGTGTTCTACTGATTGATAGATTTCCTGGCATAATGGCCAGCTTACATCACCAGTGCCTGATCCAGTGCCAGATCGCCCGGTGTGGATGTTCTTGGCGGATGGAAACTTCACCACAGTTTGGACGTGAGATGGAGTCGAGGCATTCACAGAGTAGACTGGAACAGAGCGCGAGAAGCTCGAGTTGGGAGGGGAGGAGATGAGGCAGCTCTGGTTGCCGCTTGCTTCCCAGTTGCTGGACTGCGGCTGATCCGACCTCCAAAATGGCGAGCTCCATTTCTCTCGCACGATTTCGCAAGCTGTGACAGGGCGCCGCTGGAGGCAAGACTTCGATGAGCCTTCCATCGATGGAGGAGTTGAAGGTGTCCCAGGCGCTGGGATCTGGCCAGCAGGATTGAAATGCGGTGCGATGATCATGATCCAAGGACTCGGCCATGATCAAAATCTCTAGAACTAGTGCTAAGATAGCTATGGAGGAGCATGAAACACGAGGAGACATGATGATTTGTGAGGCAATTGAGTTGGATGGACAATCGATGTTTATAGATTAATTGGAACTTCGTGAAAGTCTCAGTTTTCTTGCAGGATCTGTTTAAGCTTTGGTTTTTGGCGGTAGCTACTAAACCCAGGGTTAGGGTTGGGGGCGATTTGGATCCTCCTCCCATGGCGGAGGATCTGGACGAGAAGGCGCGGCGCGTCCGGGAGCTCCTCAGCAGCTTCTACAAATCCGACGAGTCCGATTCCGGTGACTTCGATCTGGATGCTCCCGGCGATGGAGGTGTCAGCGCCAGGCGCCGGGATACTCTGCTCCAGATCAACACCAAGGGTTTCGAGCCGGAGCGCTACATGGCTTCTCTGGTGCATAGCATTGCATTGCCGCATTTTTTACTTCCGGGGGAGATCGAGAGGTGACATTTCTTTTTGTCTGTCTGCGCAGGTCAGGAAAACGAATTTACCGACCTTGCTCAAGAAGCACGTCGAGGTGGCCGCGGAGATCAAGAACTTGGACAGTGACATGCAAATGCTGGTGTACGAGAACTACAACAAGTTCATCAGTGCGACAGACACTATCAAGGTGTACGTGAAATTCGTTTTGCTTCGCTTCCAGGACTTTCTAGCAAATGTATGACAGTAGGAGCTTGCAGGATGAAGGATAATGTCGCGGGCATGGAATCCAACATGCAGCAGCTTCTGGAAAAGGTGAGAGTGCCTTCGAGATCGTTGAGCTCATGCTCATAGATTTCAGAATTGCTAGGTGACAGCAGTGCGAACGAAAAGTGATAACATAAACGCCTCGCTGTTTGAGAGAAGAGGACGGATAGAAGAATTAAATGGTACACGAAGTCTCCTGCGGAAAGTCCAGGTAAAGAAACGATGTCTTATTCTTGTTTCTGTGCCTGATTGGGGAAGTGCTGTATCAGTTTGTTTTTGACCTCCCAAAACGCTTGAGGAAGTGCCTGAAAGAAGGAGATTATGCTCAGGCGGTGAAGTTTTACGTGGGAGCGAGCCCAGTATTAGAGACTTATGGTAGCTCGTCTTTTAGAACGTGTAAACAGGAGAGCGAGGAGGTGATTGCGACGATCTCAAAGCGCCTTCAGGTGCATTTTCTACTGTTTGTTTCTTGAGGTTCTGGTTGTCACACTTTTTTCCAGGCCAAGTTCTTAGCAGATTCTGAACCATTGCCTGGGCGAGCTGAAGCAGTGGCCTTGCTTCAACAACTCAAGTTCCCGGTGGGGTTGTATACCGGATGGATTTTTAGTAACGTACTTTACAATTGTTATCTTTGAACTATTTCATAGGTTGATGTTCTGATGGATGGGTTCTTGACAAGCAACATGAAACACCTTTTAGAACTTCAAACTTTGTCGCACAAAAGCAAGTCTCCCGATGACGCAAAGGTAATTCAATGCATAAGTGAGGCTAACTGAACAAATTTTCACAGAAATTTATTACCGAATTTACTCAAACAGCAACGGCATTTCGATCCATATTTCCAACGGGGGAAAGTCGTCTTAACGAAGCTGCGAAGGATCTTTTGGACAAGTCAGTCTTGCCACTATTTTGTGGCTTCCTAACTTTCATTACTCTCAGGTACTTTGCAAACGTCAATGTATCGTTGCAGCCGGAAGCTGGAAGCCTTTCTGCCGCGGAGTTGATTTCCTTACTAAGTTTGTGTCCTTCAGTCTCGACACTCCTTTCATCACTTTGATTGATCGTTTGCAGAAAGTTTATCTGCTGATGTAGCCAAGATGCACGAAGTGATGCCGGAAGCCGGGTTTATTGACGGTGCCATACAGGTTAGAGTCTGTTATTTCCTTCAAGGACTGGAGTGCTCACTGGTTTACTTACAGGCTGTCGAGTCGGCTGTTAAACAACACGTCAACCACAAGTTCAAGGTGCTATACGCCCAAGTAACAGGTCCGATCTTTGTCTAGTCCCTTCAAAGTTGGTTATAAAGCTACTTAACAGGTGCTCTTTCGGATATTCACTCTCCCAAGCAAGAGCAGGCCAAGGACCAGCAAAAGCCGTTGCTTCTATCCCTTGAAAACGTGCAAAATTTAATTGTTAATGGGGGACTCGAAGTTCTGAAGGTATTAACTTGGAGTTCGTTTTATTCCAAGGCACATTACCTTCTCGTAACAGGACCTCACTCAACTATTAGATGACAGTGTGGATTTTCTGGTCAGCTGGAGGGACGCTTATATTGACCTCGTTCAAGGCGGTTTTCAAGAGTTTTTTGGATCTCTTGTGGACCACTTCATCTCGTTGTCATTGGCCAGTGCAACCCAAGGCGAAGGTTCTGATCAACGCTTGGGTTCTCCTGCTCCGGGATTCGTCTTGCTTCTATCTCGTTTGTCTACGTTTATCGAGCAGGAAGGAGTTCCGAGAATTACAGAGGTTCGACTATGCGGATAATCAGCTGAAAGTCATACTCATATCAATTTGCAGGCAGTAGGCGATTCTTTCATTGGTGGTTCACTGGGTGATCGTCCTGCATTTCTTCCTTCCGAGATTTGCAGAGCGTTTCGTGCTGCAGCAGAGAAGTTTTTGCGTCAGGTTAGTAAAGATTATGTTGGTCAGGCATTGCTGATATCTTCCTTTGCAGTTCATTGATGTCCGATCACGAAAGCTTTCCATCATGATCTGCAAGAGCATTACAACGCCGAACTGGCTCCAGGTAATACCAACTTTCTCTGGTGACTGGCTAACTGAAATGCTCTGCAACCAGTACAAAGAGCCCAGGGACGTTCGGATGTTTGCAGACTTGCTATTGGACGAGGTAATGCGTATCATTTCTTTCTCGTCCAAAGATCTCACGTAGCCGGTTGCGAAGGTGAAAGGAATGGAAGGAGAGGTGAAGCAAGTATTGGAACCTGGAAAGAGCCATCGTCGTTCTGATAGCGCCGGAAGCTCAAGCTCCACTCGCAGCAGTAACACCACCCGCGGGGATTCTCGCTCCAGCAGGCTAAACAACCGTGGAAAGACGCACTTACTCGAGCGGGACGTAGCAAAGCTGTTCAAGCAAAGAGTTGAGATATTCACCAGGCCCGAATTGACGCAGGTATGAAAAACTCACATCACCAACTTGCTCTAAAGCTCGTCTTTCGCTTCGATTCTTCTCCCAGGCATCGGTAATCTCCATGGTTGTCAAGATCGCTCTCAAGAGCTTCCAAGAGTACGTCCGACTTGAAACGTTTAGCCGCTGTGGCTTCCAGCAAATCCAACTGGACACGCAGTACTTGAGAGACCCGCTCCGGGAAGTGGTCGACGATGACAATGTGGTGGATTTCCTCCTCGACGAGGCAAGCAAAACAAAACTCTCGGTTCTTATCGACAAGCTCTTTCTCTTTCTCTCAGGTCTGCGCTGCTGCTGCCGAGCGATGCACTGATCCAACACCGCTGGAACAAGCCGTGCTAGACAAGATCGTGCACACCAAGCGCGAGAAGAGACTAGACGACGAGGCCACCAAAGTTTTCATCTAAGCGAAACTCTCTCCATGAATTTCACGGTGCTTGCGAGGTAAAGTTCATGGCTCTCGCGGCACAGTAATTTCTCTCTATGGCCGAGAGGCTGGAATGGAGAATCCATGGACCAGAAGAAAGAAAGAAGGAAAAAAAGAAGAGCCTTTGTCGTGATATTTGAGACTGGCACTGCTCACTGACTGTCTACTCTCCATTAAATAGCTCGCATGCCCTCCTCCATTGCACAAAAACTCGTATATATACCGATTTTTGCTAAATTTTCTTTCTTTCAAGGGGCTGCTTGTTTAGGGAGTGGACGCGGCGGTAGCTCACGGCGGCTTAGCGCTTAGGGCTCTTCTTGACTGCGTCGCGCGCCATCGCCATCGCCACCGCCATCGCGGCGCCGCGCCACACGCCAGCTAGCTGCATTGGAATCCTCCCGTCGCGCGGCCGCCGGATCGATCTATCCCCCGCGCCACAATGAGGCAGCAGATCGATCCATCGCGGGAATTCACGAGGGATGTGCGACGCGTGATTGTCAAGGTATGAGCGAAATATTTTGGAGTGATTCTCCTCCTCTCGGTGTCTGAGAAATTCTCGTTGTGCTTTGCGCTTGCTTTGCCAAAGGTTGGAACGTCGGTCGTGACGCGGCCGGATGGGAAGCTCGCTGTTGGCCGGCTTGGTGCATTGTGCGAGCAAGTAAGCAAGAATTTGCTCTTCTCCTCCTCGCTGCCCGCGCTGGAAAGGACGATTTTTTTCTTTCTTTTTTCTCTTTCTCGAGGCATGACGGGGAATTTTTTTCCAGGTGAAGGACATTATGGATGATCATATCGAGGTGATCGTTGTAACCTCTGGTGCTGTGGCTGTCGGGCGTCAGAAGCTTCGACAGCAGCGCATGATGAACAGCAGGCAAGTCAGAAGAGTCATTCACCACTTCTGCTTCCTTTTGGTTTGTTTAGGTGAAGTTGCTTTGGTGATCGTCGTGTTTGCGCTTGCGAGCTTGACCCTTTCCACATGAAAAAAAACTAACAAGCTTCACGATTGTGTTCCAGCTTTGCAGATCTGCAAAAGCCTCAAGCCGAGTTGAGCGGAAAAGCTTGTGCTGCCATCGGTCAGGCCGGGCTGATGGCTTTGTACGATAGTATTTTCAGCCAGGTTGGTTTGATTCTTTACTTATTGCTGGGTCGATGATTGATTTCTTTTCTCGATCGTGGTCACCTTGGATGTGTTTTTCCAGCTGGATGTTGCTTCGTCGCAGCTCCTTGTGACGGACAGGGAATTTATTGATCCCGAGTTTAGAAAGCAGCTCTGTGAGACTGTCGATACGTTGTTGCAACTACGGGTTGTGCCGATTTTTAACGAGAACGATGCAATGAGTACGAGGAGAGCTCCATACAAGGTTGGGTATATTGAAACTTCTATGACATTGAAACATAACGAGCGTTTTCTCTACAGGATTCTTCGGGTATCTTTTGGGACAACGATAGCCTGGCGGCTTTGTTGGCTCTGGAACTAAAAGTGGATCTGCTAATCCTGCTGAGTGACGTTGAGGGTCTTTACACGGGACCTCCTTCCGATCCTTCCTCGAAATTGATCAGCACGTACATTCCTGCTCAACACGAAACCATCACTTTTGGCGAGAAGTCAAGGTATGGTAGAGGAGGGATGACGACCAAGGTGACTGCTGCGAGGGAAGTTGCATCTGCTGGTATTCCGGTTGTTATTACCAGGTACACGTCGAGTTCTACTTTGAAAGTTTCTCATGGTTCTTCTTCCTGTGCGCAGTGGATACACTCCAGACGGATTTCACAGGGTTTTGAGGGGGGATTCTATTGGGACCTTGTTTCATAAGGATGCACATATTTGGACTCTTACGATAAATAATGATGCCCGGTTGATGGCTGTGGCTGCAAGGGATTCAAGTCGGCGCTTGCAGGTTGAGTTTGTCTTTTAACGTACCGTGTCTGGAGTTGCTAATCCTGGCTTGCAGAGTCTCACGTCCGGGGAGCGTCAAAACATTTTGTACGACGTTGCAGACGCGCTCGAGAGAAACGAAGAGACTATTCGAAGTGAGAACCAAGCAGATGTAAGGTTGGCCGAAGAGTTGGGCATCGCAAAGCCGCTACTCAGCAGGCTGACTCTTAAGCCTGGCAAGGTTTGATCTTGTTGGTTGTTATAGCCATTATCCTTCGATATCTTGTTTTTTACTTTCCTGCAGATTGCTGATTTGGCCAAGGCAGTCCGGGCCCTCGCAGATATGAGAGAACCAATTGGTAGTATTTTGCAGAGGACTGAAGTGAGCTCATTAGAAGGGATGTATTGTTTCTCAACATTCTTATTTTGCAACTACTAGGTCGCGGAGAACCTTACTTTGGACAAAACTTCCTGTCCTTTGGGGGTTATACTTGTTATTTTCGAGTCTCGTCCCGATGCACTCGTCCAGGTACGGTGTCTGGATTTTTTAATTTTTGTTCCCCTTTCTATCGTTTCTATTTTGCAGATTGCCTCCCTGGCCATTAAAAGTGGAAATGGCCTGCTACTCAAGGGTGGTAAAGAGGCTGCCCGTTCTAATGCCATACTGCACAAGGTCAGTTTGTCAGTTGTCGCTGGTAGCGTGCCTTTACACGGTGGTGTTTCTAAATGTAGGTGATTACGGAGGCGCTGCCAAAGTCTGTGGGAAAAGAGCTCATTGGTCTTGTTACGTCGAGGGATGAGATACCAGATCTTCTCAAGGTAACTATACTTTTGTGCTGTTAGCTCGTTTCTTACCATGGGTTTCAGCTTGACGATGTTATTGACCTCGTTATACCAAGAGGAAGCAATAAACTTGTTTCACAAATCAAGGAGTCTACGAAAATTCCTGTGCTGGGCCATGCCGGTATGCTACTTTTGTCCTCGCATTGCGAAAGTTTGTCCTCGCATTGCGAAAGCTGTTTCTGACACATGGAAAACCCTTTAGATGGTATCTGCCATGTCTACGTAGACAAGGCTGCCCGTCTGGACGTCGCTACAAAGATCGCCATTGATTCTAAAGTAGATTATCCAGCCGCATGCAACGCTATGGTACAGAATTCCGTTTCACATGCATTTCAGTTACTGACCGATCGCTTATTTTCTTTTTTATTTTTTCTAATGCAGGAAACTCTACTGGTCCATGAGGATCTAGTTGACACTGGAGGCTTGGAGACGCTAGCGTCCGCATTGAAGTCTGCAGGTTTGTTTTGTCGCTACACATTTTGTTTTCTTCTAACTTATAACCGCTATCCAGGAGTGACACTAAATGGTGGGGAAAGAGCGTCAAAGCTTCTCAACATTCCGAAAATGACCAAGTTCCACCATGAATACAGTGGATTAGCATGCACCGTGGAGGTCGTAAAAGACGTTCACGCCGCCATAAATCACATTCACGAACACGGGAGGTGCGTTGTCTGGCCTGATGTCGCTTGTTGCGAACTGTCGTTTCTTTCAGTGCCCACACCGACTGCATAGTAACGGAGGACAAGGAAGTCGCGGAGCTATTCTTGCAACAATTGGACAGGTTTGCTGTTTTTTCCGACTTCTCTTTTCTCTTTTGGCTGTGATTTGAAACCCGGTTATTGGCATGGCAGTGCTGCAGTCTTCCACAACGCAAGCACCCGGTTTTCGGACGGGACACGCTTTGGTCTCGGAGCGGAGGTACGTTTTCTTTTACATTTCCAGCATTAGATGATACGAAGCTTTTCCAACTTTCCTTCAAGGTTGGAATCAGCACAAGCCGGATCCACGCAAGAGGGCCTGTTGGCGTAGAGGGTCTTCTCACAACTCGCTGGTATGATAGAGACTCGGCGTGGTTTGATTCCATCCGGCGCTCACTTTCTCCTGTCCAGGTTGCTACGAGGGAACGGTCAGGTCGTCCAAGGCGACCGGGGAGTTGTTTACACGCACAAGGACGTAGAGGTGGACTCCATGGAGGGATGGACGAGCATGGGCAATGGACTCCCGGCGAGTGTCAATGGCGGATCGCTAAAGAAGAGCGCGTCTCCATTTCTGGGATCGGTTCTTGCGCCGTCCGTCGACGCTGCCACTTGAGGAAGAAGGGAGAGCTCGAAAGGAACCGAGAAGATTTTCTTTTCTCTTTTTTTTTTCTACTCTCTTTTATTTAATCTCTCGCCAAAGATTGTTCTTTCCTTCCAAGAAACTGGTAATGAGATAGAACATTTTATCAGGCTTGACTTGCATGTATATAGTCTAGTTCGAGATTTTCTTGTGTTCTTCGTGCTCTCAAAGATACGTTCTCCTCAGAAAACCAAAACTACTGGTCCATTTTACGAGAATGAGAACGTTGGTGAGGCCTTTAACGAAAACACAATTCTGGTCTTGTCCAAACCGTGTTTCGCAAAATAATTTAGAGAAAAGTTGGCCATGGATGTACCTTCGCGCAGTGCGTCCTGCGCATCGGATTTCGAAATAAACTCTGCGACTGTGGAACCAAAGCCTCCATTTCCACGTCGTACATGCTGTTCACAAGAAACATATATGCACGAATGTTCAAGCTATACAGACATTTGCTTGTGCACTTTATAGCAAACAGGATACTCAAGTTGTCAGCAGTGATGGACGCAGGAATTCCGTGAATGAGAAGTTGTTCTCATTAATCGCCTGCTTCACGAAAATGTTAGTAGAGTGATCAACTCGATCGCCTCTCAAGTCTTAAGTCTTACTGCCATGTCAAGAGCCTTTCTGCTTTTCAACTCTGAGAGGAGAAAAGCAGAAACCTCTTTTCTCGAATATGTTCGATGGTAGCTGGATTTCCGTGCTCGCGGCACACGCATCGCCTTGCCGGTCTGGGAAGGAAATCAAGTGGCAATGCTGTGCGTCTGCTCAGATTGCCAGTTAGTGATTCTTTAGCGCTCGGTGCTGATACTTTTGTTGTAGGAGCTACGCTGGGATGTATGCGCCGCTGTGGGCAAGTTCCAGGGTGTACATGCTTAAAGACCATGATTTTATCTCTTTGCTCGTGCTCATACAATTACTTTGTGAAATGCGAGATCAAGAAGATCATAAATGCCAAAGGAAAAGAGAAGAACTATCGATGACGATCACGCTTGCGACACCTTTTTTCAATTACGAGCATCCTCTTCAGGTTTTTGGATATTTTCACTGGAACACCAGGACATCACCCGCCGCTTGCGAGATGTTTGTTCTTTTCTTCTTCCTTTTAAATGTTTTTTTTCGTGCACTCCGCCTTGAAATGTCTTAGTTTTCTGTTCTGACATTGTTTTCGTCCTATAATCAGGTCTATCAAGGTGAAGAGACCCAAGACTTGATCATTAGATACCGCTAGAGCATCTAAACCGCGTTAGGATCATGAAAATAGAAAGAAAAGTGGAAAAACAGAAAGGGAGAGAAAAGAGTGGGAAGAATAGAGAGGTATGCATGCTGGCATATGGCACTAGCAACAAGTGGCACTTTCTTCTCTTACAGTCAGCTTTCCCTAATATTCACAATGGTGAATCGTTGGCACTTTAAATGCGTATTGGTTGTGACTTCAAGAGATTGGGTAAGGAGGAGCAACACCTTGGTGAAGATTTAGCAGCTGCAGCATGATTAAATGGAAGAGCCAGTGGTCATTTCCTCTAATAATGAAAAGACTCTTGCTGAAGAATCTCTTATCAATTTCGTTCACGTCCTCCCACTCTTTTGTGCTGGATTCCAGTAAGGGGATCTCAGAGCAATGTGTAGCATTCATTATCGAGGAGGCGTTCCATGCACTAGGAGATTGGTTCAGTGATCGTAGCCAGCATTGCCACCGAAGACATATGAGGCTGAGGGCAAGAGCAAGCAGTCTGAGGTAAAGACTGCATGAGGAGATTCCTTGACATGGGATTAGCAATCTGGATACTAGAAGAGGCAAGTTCCCCTGTAGCATCAGCTTATCCATGACTGCAACTGATGATCCTTCAAGGGTGTCAATTGGATTTTCATCCCAAATTGTGGACTTGGAAGCAAAGGTAAATGCTTCCACCTTGGTTTAGAGCAAAAAAGGTGGTAAAGTTGAGGGAATGAAAGATTTTCCAGAAGAGAGAATAATATAGATTGAATTAGACATGGAAGATGGAAAGTAAAAGAAAAGAACGAGAAAAAAAAGTTAACTAATAGATTAAGTATTCTTGTGTTTGGGAGAATAAAGGTTAAAAAGAGAGTTAAGAGTGCAAGGAAAAGAAGAGAGGAAAAACATAGGAAAAAAACCATAGAAGAAAAGAGGATAAAAGGAGAAGCAAGGAAAGAAAGAGAGGATGACAGAGCAATGGAGTGTGATGTAATAAGCAATAGAAGAAACTTGGATTTTCTCTTGTACTTCAACCACAGTCAAGCGAGATTTGATGTCAGGATATTTCAGGAGTTCTGGTGTACCCCTCAACTATATGTGAGAGGAGTCACTCAGTTGGGGTCACCATCACATCAATCACTTGGGTGCTGCTCCCAAATCTTATCACCCAAAGGGGCACAAGATGGAGGTCACTGAGATCCTGAGCAAGGCATATCTTGGCTGGCAAGTTCTCAAGAGCGATCTCAAGGACAAGTACAAGACCCCTGAAGTCAAGAAGTTTTGTTTCGCTTGTGGCTTGATCATGAAGGTATTATGTATGATTATGAGCATCTTGCATGAAGATGAGTGTCTTGATCATGTGATCTCCAGTATGTTGATGGAGAACAGGTGTTTGAAGCATCGTCTTGACCAGGAGGAGGCCCGAGAGAAAGCTCACGGCAAAGCACCCGACCCGGCATCGCCATCTCACAGAAAAAGCGGACTTTGTCATCATGACAGAACACAGTGCTTGGAAAATTTCAGCCTACTATATGCAGCGCTTTCACCATTTGCTTGAGCTCCAGAGAGAAGTTCATGGTTGAGTAGCCCCAAGCATGTACCGGTATAAAGGAATGAGTCGCAATAATTTATTCGACTAACCACATCAGTTTGGCCTCCTTTGAAACTCAAGCTCGTCGTACTGAAGACGTTCAACTCCTAAGCTCGACCAAATGCGGAATCTGTAAACAAAAAACATCTAGCCTATCGAAGTCCCAATAAAAAGGAAAAGAAAAATCTTTTGCTTCTTTTTGTTTCCACTGTCGTTTTCTTTTGTATTCTTTCATTTAATGCCCAGGCCTGATATACGAGGTATGGTTAAGCAACTTCACCGTGCAGTACAAGAAATGAGAACGACTTCTTCATTTTGTTATAGATTCTAAGAAACTCAATATATTGTCGTTAAGCAACTTCACAATGCAGTACAAGAAATGAGAACGACTTCTTCGTTTTGTTATAGATTCTAAGAAACTCAATATATTTATTAGTGGCTATTTTTACAAGCCCCTCCCCACGCTGATTTACTTGAGTTTCTCTTCCCTGCGTCTCGACAAAGCTTCTTGTGTTATTGGCAATACAATGCATCAATACAAAGATCTTCCACATCACGAGTCTGAACTGCTGGGAGAGAAACATCCAATTGCAGTCTATGCATCATTAGTCTGTCTAACTTTTGCTTCCCAAACCCAATCCTCCAAAACTTTTGATGGGCCTTTGCATGATCATCCATCTCTAGTTCGGACCATGGATAGACAGTAGCATCACTGTTGCAACCCAAGAGTGTGATGCTTTGATTTATTTTTTGCATTGCGGCAAGCCCAACTTCATAAACTTGCATTGCATTCGTTCGTTGATGGGCATACCTGCCATGTTGGTCCCACTGTATTGCAACCAAAGCTTGAACCAAAGTGCAATTTGCTATCATTGACAATTCCAAAGCCCAGATTATCAAACCGAGAGCTTGGATCAAACTGTTTTCTCTGCGCAGCCTTAGCACTTGCCGATCTCGTGGATGCTCTGATTGACCGAAATAATACATCTCCAAGAAGTTAATCTCTTCGCCAGTAGCCGCAACATCCGGGGATTCCTCGTCCACCATGATGGTCCATGGAAGCTCAAAACCCAAGTTCTCCAACTTCTTTTTGTAATCCCAACAACCAGATTCCTTTGTCATGTGAGACATAGAAAAGGTATCATAGCTACACTTTAAGCAGCAACCCTCCATGATCTGTTGCACAAGAGGTATGTTCCTGCACTCCCTACCGGAGCTAAAAAAGTGCATCCGCACGTTGGGGATTGCATTAAGAGCTGACAAGAATTCACGGCTCGCATGCATTGGTGTATAAAAGGTTTCGGCTACATGATATACATATTTTGAATCTTTTGCTTCCGTGATTAATGTTTCATCTATGTCTAAAATAATATAGCAGTCTTACATCTTGCTTCGATCTGTGATAAATTTGCCCTAACCCTTATCTTTCGTATATTCTCATATATTCTTTATTTCTTAAGATAGTCTTAACCTTTGATGAAAGAAGTGGCAGGCTTCTGGAAAGCAACGAGCCGGGATGAGAAACATGGTGTCTAGTATAGTGGTGTTGATACCAAGGAAGAAAAAGGCCGAGAATCAAACAGGGACAGGAAAGACAAGCTGTCCTTAAACTCCGACCTTTCTTGGTCACCACAGAAGCAGAAGTTTTGATAGTCGGACGATACAAAGCAGGCATTTGCGGAATTTGGCCATCCAACTTTCTCTCGCTTCTATGACATTCTCCTTACACCGTCTAAAATAATATGCAGCTCCCCACAAGAACACCATGGGAAAAGTTTCTTCCAAGAGACACAGCATTTTAGGCGAGAGAGGTATACTATTCCCCGGAGAGTTTGGTTCGTGAAGTGCAAGCTTCATTGCAGCAACGGTATCCTGGAAGCAATCGTGCCTTCCATCTTCGCCTCGCATAGCAAATCCCAGATAACCTGAGCAGTTCACACGGAAACTTGTCTCGAGGATTTGGGCCTGAAAGATCTTACCTTGCAAAGATCATTGAGCCCAACAGTAGCCTCGCGATTTGAAGTCTGCAGGTTTGTCTTGTCGCTACACATTTTGTTTTCTTCTAACTTATAACCGCTATCCAGGAGTGACACTAAATGGTGGGGAAAGAGCGTCAAAGCTTCTCAACATTCCGAAAATAACCAAGTTCCACCATGAATACAGTGGATTAGCATGCACCGTGGAGGTCGTAAAAGACGTTCACGCCGCCATAAATCACATTCACGAACACGGGAGGTGCGTTGTCTGGCCTGATGTCGCTTGTTGCGAACTGTCGTTTCTTCCAGTGCCCACACCGACTGCATAGTAACGGAGGACAAGGAAGTCGCGGAGCTATTCTTGCAACAATTGGACAGGTTTGCTGTTTTTTCCGACTTCTCTTTTCTCTTTTGGCTGTGATTTGAAACCCAGTTATTGGAATGGCAGTGCTGCAGTCTTCCACAACGCAAGCACCCGGTTTTCGGACGGGACACGCTTTGGTCTCGGAGCGGAGGTACGTTTTCTTTTACATTTCCAGCATTAGATGATACGAAGCTTTTCCAACTTTCCTTCAAGGTTGGAATCAGCACAAGCCGGATCCACGCAAGAGGGCCTGTTGGCGTAGAGGGATAACTCGGTGGTATGATAGAGACTTGCGTGGTTTGATTCCATCCGGCGCTCACTTTCTCCTGTCCAGGTTGCTACGAGGGAACGGTCAGGTCGTCCAAGGCGACCGAGGAGTTGTTTACACACACAAGGACGTAGAGGTGGACTCCATGGAGGGATGGACGAGCATGGGAAATGGACTCCCGGCGAGTGTCAATGGCGGATCGCTAAAGAAGAGCGCGTCTCCATTTCTGGGATCGGTTCTTGCGCCGTCCGTCGACGCTGCCACTCGAGGAAGAAGGGAGAGCTCGAAAGGAACCGAGAAGATTTTCTTTCTTTTATTTTTCTACTCTCTTTTATTTAATCTCTCGCCAAAGATTGTTCTTTCATTCCAAGAAACTGGTAATGAGATAGAACATTTTATCAGGTTTGACTTGCATGTATATAGTCTAGCTTTGCAAAACGAGTGTCTTCGAGATTTTCTTGTGTTCTTCATGCTCTCAAAGATACGTTCTCCTCAGAAAACCAAAACTACTGGTCCATTTTGCGAATGAGAACGTTGGTGAGGCCTTTAACGAACACACATTTCTGGTCTTGTCCAAACCTGGCATTCTGTGTTTCGCAAAATAATTTAGAGAAAAGTTGGCCATGGATGTACCTTCGCGCAGTGACCAGGAAGACGGTTGAAAGCGTCCTGCGCATCGGATTTCGAAATAAACTCTGCGACTGTGGAACCAAAGCCTCCATTTCCACGTCGTACATGCTGTTCACAAGAAACATATTCAAGCTACTACCTTTACTGTGCACTTTATAGCAAACAGGTTACTCAAGTTATCAGCAGTGATGGACGCAGGAATTCCGTGAATGAGAAGTTTGTTCTCATTAATCGCCTGCTTCACGAAAATGTTAGTAGAGTGATCAGCTCGACCGCCTCTCAAGTCTTAAGTCTTACCGCCAGGTCAAGAGCCCCAAGAGTTGGACGCACAAGTTCGTGAAGCGCAAGCTTCATTGCAGCAACGGTATCCTGGAAGCAATCGTGCCTTCCATCTTCGCCTCGCATATCAAATCCCAAGATAATCTGAGTAGTTCACACGGAAACTTCGTCTCGAGGATTTGGGCCTGAAAGATCTTACCTTGCAGAGATCATTGAGCCCAACAGTAGCCTCGCGATTTGTTTTGAAAAGCAGCCCAACATCAATGACCCGCGGATAGCTGATCTTCAATACTTCAAACCCAAGTATTACCGCTCAGAAAAAAACATTAAAGTACCGCTTACTTTCTAGATCATGGGACAACGTATGGCCAACCAAGATGGTCCCAGGAGTGAGTAGTTCTACCAGCTTATCCTGAAGGAAACCATCACAAAACTTTGGCTCAAAAGAAAGATCTAGAATTTAGTACCTGGGCATCTTTCTGAGTACAGTAGGCTGCTCTGTTGAGGTCTTGCGCTGTGATTCCATGAACAGGAGTGCGATAATCGACGATTGGTCGGCTGGGTTTCACAAGAATGTCCACCAGCTTCTGCGGACGAACATGAAATGTGAGAAGTATCGTCGAGAAACCGCGACTGTAACCTTACAGTCTCGGTCCGCGACGCATAACTGGACGATCTGCTCTTCGTTGCCGATGCATTCAACCATTTCGCAGTCCAGTGCTAGGAGCTTCACCTCGCTTCCTGGCGTGCAAGTAGCGTAGTACCATCCCTGCGAGAGACGATCAGATCGGATCCCTTAAACTTGATGTAGATAAATAGAAAGATCAACCTCGGCTTCTCGGCGTTTGGTGGCGTAGGACTGGAAAGATTTGTAACGCTCCAGAAAGCGCGGATGCTCTCGAGTCCGCTCAACGAGAAGCTGCAGAAACCGAAGTGAAACGAATGCGGATGCAGCGGAAACCAACCTGCTCTGGAGAAGAAGGCCAAACTTCCATAGCGAAGCGATCACTCAAAGCCAGACAGTACCTCCTTACTATTCTTCGATGAATACTTATAACAGCCTCGCAGCGTGAGGACACGCTCCATCGACGTGATCAATCAAAGTCACAGTCTCTTTAATTGAATGAGCTCAATGGTGCCTCGATGCAACGCAAGGATTAATACCGAAGTTCATATGAATACTTTTCGATTTCTTTTCTTCAGCCATCTCATGGATCTGGGAAATAAATGGCCGGGAGAGAAACGAGCGTTGATGAAGCAAAAAACAGAAGCTATGGCTCCAGGGTACATCACCTTGCTTCTAAAGTTTTTGTACGCGAAGCGCGAGCTCTTGGAGCGTTTCAAGCATTATATAGCACCATTTCCATCTGGGAACAAACTTGAAAAGAATAATTTATGAGAAGCAATACCTACGTCCTGTGGACACAGCCGCAAATCTCTCTCCTCCTTGGTGCCAGGGAAAATATTGCCAGAGAAAGAATCGAAAATTCTTCTAGACAATTTAATGCCGATCGGCGATGCAAGGCTTTAAATTCGCCAGCTTTCTAGAAGCCCAGGAAAATGGTTACTGAGAATACACACAAACCAAAAGTTGATCCAGTGAAGAAAACTCCGGTGAGGCGGCTGAGAGCCATGGCTTTGCCAAGCAGTAGGACTTTGTGTTGGTGTGTTCCTGGAGATCTGGAAGCCAGGCAATGAAAACATCCGCAAGCTTTCTACCAAAAGTAAAAACTCGAGGAAGCACTTACAAGGGAGGAGAGGTTACGAGCCTAGAACTGAGGCTCCATGTCCAGCATGATTCTCTTATCCTTGATCGGCAGTGGCTCTGGCTTTTGCGCTCCGTGGGGATGGTCTCCGCCTTTAAACACCTTGAGCTTCCTGAACATCGCCCGTCCCAGCTACAAGAAACAATGGACGTAAACCAAGGAGAGCGAAGAAACGAGAGCGAAAAGCTTGCAGAGATCGCTCACCCGGTTCTTCGGAAGCATGCCTCGCACCGCGTGCTCGACGATCCTCTCGGGTATTCGCTTCTGGAGATGGTCGAAGGTTTCCTCCTTGAGACCTCCCGGCCTTCCCGAGTGTCTCCGGTAGAGCTTGTCCGTCCTCTTTCGTCCCGTCACCCCGACTTTCTCCGAATTCACCTGTGGAGCGAGCCATGGAAGATAGCTTGGTTTCTCTGGAAGTGATCACGGAAGAACCAGGAAGAACAAGCTCTTACCACAATCATGTAGGATCCCATGTCCAGGCTGGGAGTAAACATTGGCGAATCCTTGCCGCGGAGATAGTACGCGATGGTGGAAGCAAGGCGGCCAAGTCTCATGTTGGTCGCGTCCACAATGTACCACTTCTTGCTCACGTTGGGATGATCGGCCTCCTTGGGATAGTAGGATTTGTGCCAGATTGCCTGACCAATCCAAGAAAAAACCATAGATTCAACAAAAGAGAAGATATGCTCGAGAGAGAGAAGGAGCACACCTTTTGGAGCTCGGGCTTGTCCTCGTACATCCATTTGTGCTGCTCGGGGATGATTGGCCATTGCGTCTTTGGCCTCAAGCTTCTCAATCGACAATGCACGATGCGATTCATACCTCCTTCTCCCCGCCGTGGAGCGCTCAATCCCAGGCCATTCTCATGGAATGCAAGCTTTTGCGTGAAGGAAGAGCTCCCCCCGCCGTCCAGAAACGTTGTTCGCGCAGCTGAGGCGCTCGCCATCGCCATGGCCATGAGATAGGAGCCACGTCAGCCCTAGGTTCTGGTAGATTTTGTCCACATCAGCCCTATCATCTGGTCTTTTATTTTGTTTGACACATAATTTGTTCTATGTTGACTATGCATTGACCAGGCGCTTTTACTTGATAGAATGAACGAAAGCATGGAGTTTCTTGTAGGATGATCCATTCTCGCTTGCGGCCTCTCTGGCGGCTCTCTCGATGTGTGACGCTCTACTCCTCATCTCTTCGCTCGCCATCAAGCTGCGAATCGCCATCGAGATGCCGGTCCTGGTTTTATCACGTAGCTCCATTCCAATTCCTTGATCCTCCAGGATGAACTTACAGTTTGTGTTTTGATCCGAGTGGCAGGGCCATCCCAGCATCGGGACTCCATGGCTCATGCTCTCCAGCGTCGAGTTCCAGCCGCAGTGGGTCAAGAATCCACCCACGGACCCGTGCTGCAGCACCGCTAACTGGGGAACCCAGCTGACAAGCATCCCGGCTCCCGACCGCGATAATCTCTCCCCGAACTCGCGAAAAAAGCTCTCGTCCACTTCTGGAGCTAGATCCCGCGAGGCCACCATTAGAAACTGCTTCTGGCTGGCCTCGAGCCCCTGCGTGAGTTCCTCCATCTCTGCTCGAGTGAGTGACGCGACGCTGCCGAAGGAGACGTAGAGCACGGAATTGGGTGCTTGATTGTCGAGCCATTCGAGTGATCCCCGGCTTTCCGGCCTCAAGCTCGCCTCCATCTCACTGGCGCCCCCACCCTTGAGCGGGAACAACGGACCCACGGACACAAACTTCCCGGTGACAAATTGCTGCATTGCATCGAAGACTTGCGGCTCCAGCTCGTAGATCGAGTTTGCGAGGATGCACGAGTCGATTTCCACTCGCCGCAGAGAAAGCGAGAGATACTTTTCTCCTCCATTCTTTTCGTAGAACTCTTTGCGGTAGTAGGATGGAAGATACTCGGCTCTAAATGGTTTCAAGCCAGGAAGATTGGAGACAAGCTTGCTAGTGTCTGAATCTGCAAGGAAAGGAGTGAGTTCCAGAAGTGATCTAAGAGTCTTACCTTCTAGTGGAGACAATCCAGCAGCCGCCAGCGAAGAATGACTATAGTGAATGGAAGCCCAAGCCGCTGCTCCAGACCAGAAGCAAACGGAAGGAATCCCAGCTCTAGCAGCGGCGAGAGGCGCTGAGAGGTGATAGAAATCGGAGATGACACAGGAAACATGGTGACTTAGCTTTGTGATCTCGAGGAGGGCTGCGAGTGCTTCTTCCAGATCGCAGATGGCATCCATGAAGGCAGTGGCATCGTTCAAGTTGTCGGCGCCGAAGCCTTTGGGAGCCTTGAGTCTCATTGGAATGGATTCGAGGCGAATGTCCTGGTGCTCGATGTGCTTCCATGTCCGTGTTAGATTCTCATGGATGCTGTCGATGTTGATGATTGTCACAGACAATCCTTGCGCTGCTAGCTTCCTGGCGAGATAGACAAGCGGTAAGATATGGCCTTGCGCGGGGAATGGAACAAGAATGACATGCTTGGGAGAACCCATTGCGTTCTCCTCTTCTAGATATCCCTTATTCTACATTTCCTAGCAGAACCCTCCACTTATGTGAGATGGAAGCTTGTCAGATGTGTGGCAGCCTTTTCTTGCATGTACTTCAGAAATTATTGGCTAGCCTCCTAAAGCACATTGATGTTTAAATAGACCGGTAAAATTAATTTAGATTATTATTGCAGAATTTTGCGAGAACAAATTGCTTATGTTTGCTTGATGAGGTCCCTGAGCTGCTGGATCAGTTTGGGATTGATCTGGAATGCCCTCTCGATAACGGCATCGTAAATGGGAGGATTAGATGCAAACACTGCTTTCGCGACCTGAGTGACTCCAGGATTCTGGGAATTGAATCCCGCAAGAGCAACAGCAGGCGTCTTTCCAAGATTGAGCTGGAAGTGAACTAGGCCACGCGGAAACACAAAGAGATCCCCTGGATGCAGAGTTTGAGCGAAGAGTGTGTTGTTGGTGGTGCTCACGAATCCAACATAGAGTGTTCCTTGCTGGACGAACAGGAGCTCGGTTCCTCGGGGGTGGACGTGAGGGGGATTGACACCGTAAGGGGCATAATCGATCCTCGCGAAAGAGACTCCAAGAGTGTTGATTCCCGGGAATTCACCAACATTTGCATTGGTGACCATTGAACCCAGCTTGTTGTTGGTGTTCCCGGGGTTCCGGAGTCCCTGGAACTTGAAATCACTGGCTAGAGTTGCAGCTGCAGGCTTGCAAATGAATCCATTGACGTTGGTGTTGCTGTTTGTGTCACGGACACAGAAGTCCTGGAGGGCATCTTCATCTGATCCATGGACGAAAGCAATGGCGCAAATGGCAACTAGACAAATGGCTAACTTGTAGGACATCTTGTATGTTCACACAGAGATTGATCGAAGCTTTTGATATTTTGTTGTGATGCTCGTTGATTGCTGAGGAATGGAGTGAGGAGGTTCCTAGAGTTTATATAGGATTTGTGAGCACTCCAGATCTGACTTGGTCATTTTACTGAGATATAGAAGAACACGTTTATTTCACTGGTTCAAGGTGACTTAATCAAAACCATAGCTGACTTGATCAAGCCATAGTGTCAAATCATTATTTCAGGAGTGGTCAAGCCGTTATCAAAAGAATGGAGGTGATAATTCAAAATGGAGGGAAAATTTTCATTTGAAAGGCTAGGGTTTAGGTCTGCGAGGAGAGGTAAGGGCCACACACACACACAGCAAGCAGAGGTGAGTGATTGAGCTTCTATTTTTTCGGTGGATTTTGTAATCGTTTTCTTGCAGGTCCGCAGGAAATAGCGCTGTCTGTAGGAAGCAAATTAACTTCTGCTCAATTGCCATCTTGGTTTGGATGTTGCTCTGTTTTGATTCAAGCACGCTGATCGATTGAAGAATAGTGTCCAGCGTTCCTTTCACTTCGACTTGTCGAAAAGGCTAGAGGACGATGAAAGACGAAAATGCTTACAGGAAATCCGATAGTTTCCGCTCGAGGCTGGGATCAACTGCAATCCGGTGAAAGAGCGGAATTCCTTCTACACTTTGAGGAGGAGCCCGATCCTGCAGAGCTCAACAGTAAAACTAAAGACGCAAGTACCATAGACTTGCAACGAGAGGACTAAGGCAATGGTTCCCTATATATCCATGCGATCTCTGGTTCCCTTGCCTAGTGATGCGAGCTCACTTGGCAAGGGAACCAGAAATCGCATGGATATATACGCTGTGAAGGTAAGCTTGTCTGAATGGGCGTGTTTCATGGCTGACGAATGTGCTAGTTGCTTTCATGGGCTTTCGCTGGGACATATTCCGAAAGCGCTTTCGCGTTATTTGTCTCGAAAGGCGTTCAGACAATATTGTCTAGGGCGCTTGTCAAATGTTCAGAAAGCTTTCAGGGATATGTCTGCACGTCTCAAGCTTGATTTGCGTGAGATCCAGAGTCGGACTGTTGGAAGTCTTGGCAAAGAAGAAGTGCTGGCTGTCAAATGGAACCGTCTGATGGAGGGAACTGACACGAGACAAGACTCCGGCTGTCGATAAGAGGATTTTGTTTACATGCTCCACAGCGGGATTTCCATCTCCTTACTCCGGACGAGGTATAATTTCTCGACTCATTCGTTCAATTTCGACCATTTGTATGAACATGGACTATGAAGGCACATAGTCCGCACATTCTGCAGTCCATGAGTTAGTTGGTACGCAGTTTCTTTCATCGTGTATTTCATTTTTTTTGTCCAGGTTGCTGCTGAACATCAACCTGGCATCTGGGGACGGGGACTGGAACTCTAGGGACTTGGCCTCGTCTTCGTCCTGGTCATTCTCCATTTCATGCTACGGCTCAAGACGTGTTGTTCAGCGCCAGGTTTAGCTTGAAGAGATCGCTCACCCGGTTCTTCGGAAGCATGCCTCGGAAGCATCCTTGCTATGCATGATTCAAGATTATATTATGTATGAATTAGGCACTTAATCATGAGTAAGTAAAAGTGTTGGATAGTAGTGGCATCAAGAACAGAATATGCAAGTACCACTCATTCATAAAAAGTTATATACAGTTCTTTTTCGTTGTGTATGAGTCTCTCTGCTGCTTTCAAATACTCGGCTCTAAATGGTTTCAAGCCAGGAAGATTGGAGACAAGTTTGCTAGTGTCCAAGGAAAGGAGTGAGTTCCAGAAGAGATCTAAGATGTACTGGAGACAATCCAGCAGCCGCCAGCGAAGAATGACTATAGTGAATGGAAGCCCAAGCCGCTGCTCCAGCCCAGAAGCAACGGAAGGAATCCCTGCTCTAGCAGCGGCGAGCGGAGCCGAGAGGCGATAGAAATAGGAGATGACACAGGCCTTGTGATCTCGAGGAGGGCTGTGAGTACTTCTTCCAGATCATAGACGGGATCCATGAAAGCAGCGGCATCATTCAAGTTGTCTGCATTGGGAGCCTTGAGTTTTTCGAGGCGAATGTCCTGGTGCTCGATGTGCTTCCATGTCCGTGTTAGATTCTCATGGATGCTGTCGATGTTGATGATTGTCACAGACAATCCTTGCGCTGCTAGCTTCCTGGCGATATTTCATATTTGTTGCTCTTTTGCTAGTGATTTATGGTGCGGCCACATTTTAAAAATAATTTAGATTATTATTGCAGAATTTTGCGAGAACAAATTGCTTATGTTTGCTTGATGAGGTCCCTGAGCTGCTGGATCAGGTTGGGATTGATCTGGAATGCCCTCTCGATGACGGCATCGTAAATGGGAGGATTAGATGCAAACACTGCTTTCGCGACCTGAGTGACTCCAGGATTCTGGGAATTGAATCCCGCAAGAGCAACAGCAGGTGTCTTTCCAAGATTGAGCTGGAAGTGAACTAGGCCACGCGGAAACACAAAGAGATCCCCTGGATGCAAAGTTTGAGCGAAGAGTGTGTTGTTGGTGGTGCTCACGAATCCAACATAGAGTGTTCCTTGCTGGACGAACAGGAGCTCGGTTCCTCGGGGGTGGACGTGAGGGGGATTGACACCGTAAGGGGCATAATCGATCCTCGCGAAAGAGACTCCAAGAGTGTTGATTCCCGGGAATTCACCAACATTTGCATTGGTGACCATTGAACCCAGCTTGTTGTTGGTGTTCCCGGGGTTCCGGAGTCCCTGGAACTTGAAATCACTGGCTAGAGTTGCAGCTGCAGGCTTGCAAATGAATCCATTGACGTTGGTGTTGCTGTTTGTGTCACGGACACAGAAGTCCTGGAGGGCATCTTCATCTGATCCATGGACGAAAGCAATGGCGCAAATGGCAACTAGACAAATGGCTAACTTGTAAGACATCTTGTATGTTCAGACAGAGATTGATCGAAGCTTTTGATATTTTGTTGTGATTGCTGAGGAATGGAGTGAGGAGTATGAGGAGGTCCCTAGAGTTTATATAAAGTTGCGAGCACTCCAGATCTGACTTGGTCATTTTACTGGGACACAGGAGAACACGTTAATTTCACTGGTTCAAGATGACTTGATCAATATCATGGTTGACTTGATCATAACTGAAAATCATTATATTTCAGGAGTGGTGAAGCCGTTATCAGTAGAATGAAGGTGATGCTACATTCAATCCATCTTCCGAAGAATTATAATGGAGGGAAATTTCTCATTTGAAAGGCTGGTAAGGCGGCATTCCATTCCATCTCTCTCCCTCATACACACACACACACACACACACACACAGACAGCTCGGTGGTTGGGCGCGGCAGTGCAATAGGTGAGTGATCAGCTTCTATTTTTTCGTGAATTTTGCAAGCCTTTTCTTGCAGGAAGAGCTGGAGTGTTGTGATGTTCCGCAGGAAATAAAAGGAGGCCTGAGCAAATACGCCGGAGGAACTTCTCCTGAACTGCCATATGATTCAAGCATGCTGATCGATTGAAGAACAGTGTCCAGCTTTCACTCTTTCACTTCGACTTGTCGAAAGGGTAGAGGATGATGAAAGAGGAAAATGCTTACAGGAAATAAGATAGTCTGCGGTGATCAACTGCAACCTGGCGACAGAGCGGAATTCCTTCTACACTTTGAGGAGGAGCCCGAGGTGGTCCTTCTTGCAGAGCTCAACAGTGAAAGTAGAGATCTTTACAAGGACGCAAGTACCACAAATGAGAGTGGAAACTCTTGGCAAGGGAACAAGAAATCCCATTGATACATAGGTAAGCTTGTCCGAACGGACGTGTTTCATCGAAAACTTTGCGCCGAGCCAATGGACATATTTCGAAAGAGCTTTCGCGTTATTTGTCTCAAAAGGCGTTCAGGCAATAATGTCTGGCGCTTGAGAAAGCTTTCAGGGATATGTCTGCGCGTCTCAAGCTTCATTTGCGTGAGATCCAGAGTCGGATGGGTGTCAAATGGTAACCGAAATGCACGATGAAAGAAACTGTGCACCGGACTGGACTATCTCATGTTCATACAAATTGTCGCTTTCCATCCAATTGAACGAAATGCCTCGAAAAGTTAGACCTCGTCTGGAGTAAGGAGATGGAAATCCCGCTGTGGACCATGTAGAGACAACCTGGCATCTAGGGACGGGGACGGGAATGGCCTCGTCATGCTCTAAGCTTTGATCCTCGACTCAAGACGTGTTTTTTAGCGCCAGGTTGAGCTTCGCACAATAGCTCTGGAGCTTTTTCTCCTGGACAAGAATCGAGCACCGTAAGTTTGTTCTTTGAGCATCTCGCCAAAATCAGCCTTATAATCCTTCTCCGGCACGAATGGTTCGAGCCACTCCGACACAGAAAGCCTCGATGATGTCATCGCAATAGGCCTATGCCCGTGCCGCCCATCCGGCGTCTCGATCCTGCACGCGGCATCACCGCGGATCCTGTCCGGGCGTGGGTACTTGGTGCTTAGAGTAGCCCTAAAAATGAATATTCGAGTAAATTACGTATATCCGTTTTACTCTAGATTACTTCTTGGATCACTCACTCTCTCTCGGCGAGATAGAGATCATTCTAATAAGGGCATCCTGCTTCCTCCAATGTTAACAAAGTTGTGTGTCCCAACTTTGTTCTAATTCATGGAGCTGGCCATCGTGCGTGGCATTGGAATAATCCCGCCACCGAGTGGACGCCTTGGATCAGGTCAGTGGTGGAACGAGCAGTGTCTGTGCTGCCACTGTTGGTATTATTCGGCTCCTTTGATCCAGATGCTTGAGTCCATGCATCAGACGATAAGGTTTTTTGGGAAAAATTTCTAGCTTTTATTGGAAACTCTGTTCCTAATCGAATCTCCAAAGCTTTTTATCTTCAATGTCACAATGGACGCTTTTGGGATTTGAAAAACTCTATATAGGTGACAGAGTTGCAGGTATCAATGGATGCTGGCTAAAGACCAAGAAAAATTTAATGGATGGGATTCCTGTGACGGATTTGCCATACTACGAGCCCGAGTGGAGAGCATGTTGCAGTGTCAAAGAAGAAAAGAAGAACAATCACCTGTGACATCGAGGAACGGGCCGTGCCTGGTTCCACTTACTTGGATTCAATTTTGACAGGCAAGTCTTTGAGTGCTCGCTTTAGTAAAGTCGAGGATGCAAAGAGATAATGTATAGGAACACTTTCTAGCAGTATTTCTTTGTCTACAGTCCACTTTTGCAATGCAGATATTGAAGTGAGAGCCTGGTTACAACTCGAACTTGTGCTTATAAGAGAAGGATCATCGTGGTAGGATGCTTATGAGCTGTAGTGGGGAAAATGTCACCAGCTGGTTGAAGATCACTTCTGGAGCTCGAACGCTCTAGGCAACCATTAGGAAGTGCTGCTGGCTAGTTCCTTACTTTGAAGCTAGGTTATAAAATAGCAACTATTTCACAACTAAAATATATAAGAAAAATGATACAAAAATATCACATGTGGAAATAAACATAACTTACATAGTATTATAGAAACAATATATATATTTTCGCTCATACAAAAATATCAGCTGTTCAGATAAACATAACTCTAAACCAATGTATAGAAGGTTAAATCATTTTGTTACCTTCATTCGTTTTAATGGCCTCTAGTCTTTTTGCTTTTGTTTTTTTCCTTTTGCTGGCGATTTATGGTGATGCTCGTAATTTTGAACAAAAATTGTGTCCTAGTGCAATCTTTAGCTTTTCTGATGCACTCTCAGATACTGGCAATCGCAATCTTGAAGCAGTAGCAGCGGGACATTTAAGGTGCATTTAGTCTTTCTGGACATCTACCATATGAAATTACACTGGGAAAGCCCACTGGAAGATTTTGTGATGGGTATGTATTTATTGATTATTTAGCTCGTCAATTGAAGTTGGATGATATTGAGCCTCCAAGTTTAACTTATAATGGTACTTATTTTACAAGTTTGAATTTTGGCTATGCTGGAGCAACAGTTCGTCCACCTAGTGTTTATAACACATCTTTTGCTACTCCTCATATATTGTCTGCTCAAGTTTCAGATTTTATATGGCATAAACAGCAAGTTGACAATCATCAAAATGTTGATATGTGATGAATATTACAATTCCAGCTGTAGTTAAGGGCATCAATTCTAGTATTATGGATTTACATAATTCTGATGCAAAATATTTTATGATAATGAATCTTCCTCGTTATGATTGTGCTCCTAGCTATTTACAATTATTTTCTAATGCTGCTGGGATGCTTTATGACAACTTGGATGCCTTGTTGAGGTTAGAAATACTATTGATTTATTTAATAAGAAATTATTAGAAATGGTAAATGATATTAACAATCAAAATGATGATATTGAAATATATTATTTTGATTGGTTTTCTGCAAGTAATAACATGGAGCAATATGGATTTAAAAGTTATAAACAAGCTTGTTGTGGGATACCTGAAGGTAATTTCAATTGCGTTACTGATAATAATACAGCACTATGTGGTTGTGGATCACCAAGTGGTACTGTATGCAACAATCCAAGTGAATATTTACTATTTGATGGCACTCATTTCATTCAGCAATTTTATGAAGTTTCGTCTAAACTCATTTCTAATTATATTATTCCAACTGTGAGTCTATTGCCCGGCTGTGGGGTACCAATGCCATCCTCTTAAAATTAACTGATATGAATTCTTAATTTCAATTAATTAACTTCAGCTATTATACTTTGTTTTTACGATGTAATTTCACGTTTGGGCCACGTGGGCAGAGCTATGAATCAGTTGGCTAGGGCAGATGAAGCGTGGATGAGAGTGAAGGCGATTGCCATCGATCGAGAGAGAATGTGGTGGTGTGCTCGAAAGTGGCAGGAATCCAAGGGTGCAATGCGACAGTGGAATGGATGCCGAGCGCCGGAGCATCTGAGATGTTTGCCCGGTTTGGGAAGATGAGAACGGATACGAGCAAGAAATATGGCTGCATCGTCGTGAGGTAAGCAGGGATGTCGATCCATATCAGCTGAAATAGATCTTTTCGCAGTGATGCGAGCAAAGCACTGGAAAAGAGCCCCTTGCGTCGGCCATTGTATGTTCGTCCATCCAACAAAGATGAGAGGTATTTCTTCTTGGAGTTTCTAAAATTTCTTCCCTGCCCTGGTTAATCTCATCGCAGGAGAGGACTCGGTGTGGGAAGGAGCAAAGGCTGGCACAAGGTAGCGAAGAGAGAATTTTACCTCTTTGATTTTTCTTTTGTCCAGGTTGCTGAGTCCAGGATCAAAGCTAGCATGAAACCGTTAAAGTCCGAGAACCGGATCATCAAACACAACTTGGAGAAATCCAAGCAGCTCATATCGGAGGAGAATGACCAGGAAGAAGACGAGAACAAGTCTCTCGAGTTCCACTCTCCGTCACCAGATCCAGAAATCTGCCAGGTTGATGGAATTCCGGTCCAGTTTGGTCAGCAACACTCGACGTCCTCGACTCTCGGAAGTGCTTTTCAGCGCCAAGTTGAGCTGCGCGTTAACAGCTCTCTGGATGGTTTCACGAAAGACTCCGAAAGACCACTCCACTCGCCTGAGTACGTCGGCCAGGATATCGTTTACCACGTCTTCTATCAGGACAATCCTCTGGACATAATCGAGTCGCTGCTGGTGGCCAGGAAATCGTATGACTCGTCCGCGAAGCTCGAGGAGAACGAGAAACAAAGGAGCTCCGAGGCACTGGTGGAGACTCTTGGGAAGCTCTCGCAGCAGGGAGATTCCACTGGAGCAGACAACTTGTCAACCCAAGAGTCTGCGACGTTGGAACAAGAGAATAGTGTTGGGATAGAAGGGAAGACTAGCGATCGGTTGCTGGAAGGGATCAGTGAAGAGATTCAAGTGAACTTACTCGACTCGAAGCATGCTCAAGTGGAGGAGACGCCGCGGAGGCATCGCTTTAGAGCGAGCTGGGACTCTGTTCCAGCGATACTGAAGAAGCAAGATAAGCGAATCAGAGCAGAGGAGGAGGGGGGATTGAGCAAGGATTTAGAAGCTGAGGACAATCAAGGTGGCCAACTATCTGACGGGGAGACAACCATCAGCTGGAACATTACCTCGCCAGAAGCCGAAAACATGGAGCAGTCGTTGCTACAGCTTCTCAATGCACGGTTGCAAGTTCTTAGCTCCCACAAGCTCAAGTATCTTCTGGGGGTTATGGATAAACTCGAAGGTGGCGACGTCGACATGCTGACGCCTCAAGAACATCCTTGTGAAGGAGTTGAAGTTTCCGCTGTCAGCAAAACCCGTACCTTATCTCTTCGCATTCTATCAACTTGGGGCGACAAGCACTTCGTTGGTCTTGTGCAGGTATCCTTTGTCTACGCATGAAAGCTCAATTTGTAATAGGCTGCAGAGTCGACGCGGGATGAACTTTTTGCAAAGAGGTAGTGTACTAGTTTGGGATAGATAGCTTTGGATGGTGCTTTTACGTGGTTGCTAGAACAGTTTCTTGTGATTATTTTTGTTTTCTTTCTTACGAACTTTCGTGTGTTTTTGCAGGTAGATCTGTTTGACACTGATGGCAAGAAAATCGACGTCCAGCCTATGCAAATCACCTCGAATTGTGAAGCTGCAAAAGAACTTGGCCGGATTGTGGATGGTGGTGTGAATTCTAGCGTGTGGGAGGCTTTACTTCCCTTGCCAGGCTCTCCTCCTCTGGAAATATTCTTTCAGCTACCTTCGGAAGACACTTCGATCGGACACCTTGAAGTTTGGAATCACACCCAAAGTATTGGCAAAGGTGTGAGGGACTTGCAAGTTTTGATAGACGGGGAGATAGCGTGGCAGGGAACGGTTTCAAAGTCATCCGGGAGCCAAGTATATGATTCGTGCACACGAATACCACTGCGGGAAGGAGTGACATTGCCAAATCCGTCCATTGGAAAATCAATCTCGATAACTCCTCCATCTCCGAAGCTGGAATTCGAAGTTTCAAGGTATAAACCGAAGTTCCTTTAATCTTTTTTCCTGGATCTACGTGTAACTTTCAGGCTAAACTCCTCGTCTCCAAAATTTGAAGACTCTGAAGTCGCTGGTAATAAGCTTGCGACGAGGCAGGCCGTGGAAAAGGTTGAAACGGAGTCAATATGGTCCAGGGCTGCTCGTTACTTGCAGCGTAGTATCGCTTCGAAAAGGGAACCACAACCAGAGGAGACCGACGACGCTGACGACAATCTGCAAGCCGACATAGACAAGCTCGAGGAAGACAATATGGAGCTCGAGGAGATTGAAAGGATACTAAACTCAGACGGTGAAGGTAAGACTTCTGAAACGACTACAATATCCGCTCAGAGCTTTTTTCTTTGTTTACAGACACTTGTACTTTCTACAATAAGTTCGAGCAAAATGTGAGCCAGAAAGTTGTCAGTGCGAACTTGTCCGCGGATGCAACGTATGAAATGTTCTCGGTCGACATGCTCGACGAATCAGCCGACAAAGCAGCGCTTCTCCAAGCTCTAAGCTACACCGACGATGCAGACTTAGAAGAGCTAGACGGTGACGAGCAACAAATATCGGAGCTTGTAGCGCCGAGTGACTTCTCCATTCCGCTCCTACCTCTTGGAATGAAGCTGACGATCGACATTCACAGCTCATGGGGTGATCCACACTACGTTGGTCTCTCCGGCATTGAGATCTTTGACGACGCTGGACAGGTGGTGCACATCGACTCGAGGAAGCAAATCAGTGTGAGCTACACAACCGCAGCTCTCCTCTCGGGACTTAACTGCAGTCCGTGTCCCGTGGAAAGGCTGGTCGACAATGTCAACCTGACGTGCGACGATTCTCATATGTGGCTCGCACCTTTCTCTCCGGGACATCCTTGCACCATCACCATTTCTCTCGAGGGGCCAACTTTGCTGGGAATGGTCCGGTTTTGGAACTACAACAAGTCGACAATGCATACTTACCGCGGTGCCAGGTTGATCCGTATGTTCCTCGACTCTCAGCTCATATTTTATGGAGAATTGCGACGAGCATCCGGCTTGCTCTCTGACGCTTACAACAATGCTGAGCCAATTCTCTTCACAAACAATGAGGTTAGTAGCTTCATCTTTTTTCTTTCCTTTCATTTCATGTGTCGTGATGTTTTTCAGGCCAGCCTGTGTGCCATAGAGATGCATGACGCGCAAACTTACAAGAAAAAAGGCTCTCCAGGAAGCGACGGATTACATGACATGAACGAGGATACCGAGGCCTACATTGGAAGTCCTTTACAAAATCCCGTGTTTAAGCTCCCGGTGCCTTCCTCTCAGGGCAAGCGCGTTGGACAGTCATTACACGACCACTGTGGTTCGGATAAAGCGCCAATGGGACGTGTTCTCAGGCTCAATCTACTCAGGTCTTGGGGAGATTGCTATTACTTTGGACTGACTGGAATCCAGGCTCGTACCTTTTACCAGAACTCCCACTACTTTCGCATAACATTCGTGTAAGTGGATTAGAATCTCTTTTCATCCGCTACTGTTGGTAACGTGAAGAGACTTGTTTCTGCAGGTGCTGGACGAGAATGGAAATGCACACTCAATTCAGAGTGAGTTTATCACTGGAAAGCCAAGGGACTTGAACGATATACCAGGGCATACCGGAGACTACAGGACGCTTGATAAGCTTGTCGACGGATGTAATGTGACAACGGATGATCGGCATATGTGGCTTGTGCCGTATGATGGTCCGGAGGCTGAGCACTTCCTGGAGATCGACTTTAAAAGGCCGGTGACAATGTCAGCTTTCAGATTCTGGAACTACAACAAGAGTTTAGACGACACGTTCCGTGGTGTAAGTTATGTTTGCTTTCATGCCTGCTAAAGAACTCGGCGGCTTTGCAGGTAAAATGGATACAGGTTCTCGTTGATAACGTCGAAGTTTCACCGGCAGGAGGCTTCCTGTTAAGAAAAGGTATGTGTTTTAACTTGATATTTCAGTCTCAACTCGGTTTTCAGCTCCCGGGACGGACAAGTTCGACTTTGGGCAGGTTTTGACGCTGTACAAGAGATCCAAAAGAAATCTCCAGCAACTTGAAAAGGTAACCAATCTGGTAGCTGAAGTGAATGTTTTCATTGTAATGGTGGTTTCTTAAAACAGCACAACGTTAGAGAGAATGTCAAGCAAAGGCGGATTTACGCTAAGCTTGTTCTACAGGAGTATCTCACGCCCTTGTTTCCCTCTGGGCGTAAGTAACTACTTCATTGCAAAATACGTGAACTTTTTTGTCTTTTTTGTCTTTCAGATGTGATCAAGTTTGTGCTTCTCTCAACTTGGGGAGACCACCAGTATCTGGGACTCAATGGAATCGAGCTATTTGACGAGCTGGGCCAAAGTGTCCCCGTCTTAAAACGTATCCTTCGAGTTTTTTCCTTCCTTTTCTGATTTTGGAGGCCTTGACATATGCGCCAGACAATGTTCACGTCTTGCCTGACATGACCACTCATTTCAGCAATCCAGAGAAGCTTTTCAATGGAGTGAACAACACCTGGGACACTCAAAACATGTGGTTGAGCGTACGAGATTATACCGAAGTAAGTTTCAAGCATTTTTCTCTTTCGAGTCTAAGTAGTGCTGTTTCTTTTCTCTCACAGGGTAACCAGATCTATTTGTATTTCAACGAGCCTGTGATGTTATCCCTCGTGAAGATCTGGAACTACAGCCGGAATCCCACGTTTGGTGTCCGTGAGATCGAGGTAAACTCCTGGAGCTTTTCTCGCTTTGTTTCAATCACTTACAGCGATACAATGGCAGATTTTGGTGGACGACTTGCTCGTCTACAAAGGCTACGTGAGGAAAGCAATCGCGGCAAACTCGAGACATCTGATCGACAGCGAAATTTGTCCACATTCGATTCTCTTTAGCAGCGACGAGCAAACTCTCCGCGACAACGAAGACAATGTCTTCTACTGTGGGGGAGTTCCAAACACGGATATAATCCTCATCAACGACAACTACGTTGTGAGCGATGGCTCCAATGCGCTTGTAACCAAATAGAATAGAAATAAACGCTACTACTTAACTAGTGGCGGGAAGCCATAAACCCTAGCTAGAGCGCATTTCTTCCTCGATTTCCATTCCATGGCGCCGCATCGAAGGAGCAGCGGCGGCGGTAGCGGTGGAGGAGGCGGCGCCGCGGCCAAGCAGCAGCGCAGCATTGCGTCTTTCTTTTCTCCCGGTGCTCCATCGCCGGCGGCAAAGAAGGTTTTGGTGATCAATGATGCGACTACCGCTGCTAGTAATCCAGGTACTTTGATAGTTTGGGAGGAATGGAGGGATCTTGGATCGTAGATTAGATTTCCAGTTCTTCTCGATCTTCCCAATGCTAACATTTTTAGTTTTGTGTGTATGCTGGAAAAGCTTTGTCACCGAAAACTCATGATCGACAAGAAGAAGATACTGGAAAAAACGATAGAACTGGTGAGATAAGATGCTTTCTATGACTTCTCTACTAACATTTTCTTCATTTCAAGCGGTAACAGCACCAAATGAGGAAGGAGATGATGAGAAAAGCAAAGAGTCTCCGCTAAAGAGGCCGGCGGACGACAATGTATGTGGAAGTCCTCCAGCGGAGTCTAGTAAATCACTCAAAAGACTGAAGGTATTTTGGTGCTGGAAATGATCGCTCAAATACAATCGCGTGTCTGGACAGCAGAAGGTCGTTTTGGAAGATGGTGACGACGAGGAGTTCCTTGAGAAGATGGATTTGGAGAACAGTCATTGTGGAAAAACTCGAAGAAGTTCTTCTGTTTCTTCAGCAAGTGCAGCAGTCAAAACGTCGGATGGTTTGGGAGCTCCGAGGAAAAGGCTGAGAAAGAAGTACGTGGTGGCTTCTTCAGACGATGATAGTGGCTGTGAAGTCAAAGGTGCCGATGTCAAAGAAAAACGAACGATGGAGGACGAAGCGACGATCGGAGAAATTCCGAAAGAAGATACCAGGTACTAGCCTTTTCCTGACTCAGATTTTGAGCATCTTTTCTGCAGACAGCGAGCTGAAGAACTCGAAAAAATTACACGGTTCAAAGAGGAAACTGTTCGGCAGATAGAACCTGCCACAACGAGAGCGGATGAGTGTTGTGGTAAGCTTGTCCTAGTGTTTTCTAGATTGATATACATTGGCGTGCAGAGGCCGATCGCTCACTACTGCTGAGTGGTGAAGCACTTGAACGTTTTGGCGGTCGAATCTCAAGAAAATTCAGCTTTCTTGGCAAGTAAGATTGGGTTACTGCGTCCTGGCTGATCAAAATGTGAATTGTAAAAGGAACCGCAAGGATTCTTCAGGAAGGCGCCATGACTGGCCAAATTTTGATTCTCGAACACTTTTTTTGCCGGCCGAGTTTGTGAAAGGGCTCACAGGAGGCCAGGTACTGCCTTGATCTTTTGTGATGGTCATTATTTTTTGTTTTACGAAATAGAGGCAATGGTGGGAATTCAAGGCCAAACACATGGATAAAGTTCTTCTTTTTAAGGTGATGATGCGATGCTTATGCCTGCTAGTGTTTAGCTGTGCTGCATGCTGCAGATGGGGAAGTTCTACGAAATGTTTGAGATGGATGCACATGTTGGAGCTCAAGACCTTGATCTGCAGTACATGAAGGTTCACTACGCTCTCTCCAGTTTTTATTTATAAAGTGTTAACCTTTCTTCTTGTTCAGGGTGAGCAGCCGCATTGTGGCTTCCCGGAAAAGAATTATTTTGAGAATGTAGAGAAGCTAGTTCGAAAGGTAGAAACTTCGCACCCCAGTGGAAATGCTTATGATTTTGATTTTAGGGGCATCGAGTGTTGGTGGTGGAGCAAACGGAGACACCAGAACAGCTTGAAGAACGCAAGAGAAAAACGGGCAGCAAAGACAAGGTATAACGATCTGTGTTCTTGATACATACAAGCAAAAGTTTACAGGTTGTAAGACGTGAAATATGTGCGATCATAACTAAGGGAACCATGGTGGACTCTGGTATGATTAGTGACAATGCGGAGCCCTCCTTCCTTGCTGCAGTAACAGAGAAGGCGGACAATTATGGAAGTTCTTTGGTCGGACTTTGTGTGGTAGATGCCTCCAGGGCTTTATTTATGCTCGGTCAGGTCCGTGATTGTCTACTGTGTGGCTTATAACTGATTGATGCATAACGCCAGGTCGAGGATGACTCCGCAAGGACGAAACTTAGATCTATATTGACAGAACTGAGGCCTGTCGAACTAGTCTTGCCGCTTGGCTTGCTGACGGACGCTACTCAAAAGGCCTTACGCGAACAAACAAGAAAACCATTGATCAGTCAACTTGTACCTTCAAAAGAGTTCTGGGACGCTGAACAGACAACCAAAGAGATTCGCACCAGTTATGGAGCTTCAGACGCGATGCCCACCGTTCTTCAAAAAATTCTCGAGCTTGGTGTTTCGTCAGAACCAGTTTTATCTGCTTTTGGGGGCTGCATTTGTTACTTGAGGCAATCGCTTCTTGATGGTCAGCTCCTCCAGCTTGGGAGGTTCGAGTTGCTTCCAGGATCGGACCTGTCATTCGAACATTCAGCCGCTATTCCTGAAGCTGATCCCGCAGAAGCTCACATGGTACTTGACAGTGCTGCTTTGGATAACTTGGAAATATTGGAAAACTCTTCCAATTGTGGAGTGGCAGGGTGAGTATGGTTTCGATGCGGTAACTCATTAAGCTGGTCATTACAGGACTCTTTTGTGTTTACTCGACCACTGCATAACACCATTCGGAAGACGTCTATTGAAGCAGTGGATTGTCAGGCCTCTTTGCAATATTGAATCCATTGTGCAACGGCAAAATGCCGTCGTAGATATGCAGGTTAGTCTGTTGGTACTCACTCCGAGTTGATCGAGCTTGTTGCAGGGTGTGGCGGAAAATGCAGTTTCAGAATTTCGACGGGAGCTCTTTGGTATTCCGGACCTTGAAAGACTTCTAGCTCGACTCAGTGCAAACAGGTTTGAAGACTCTTATTCGATGCACTTCTGATTTACTGCAATGCGTTTTTAGTGGGGAAAATGGGAGGCATTCACAGAAGGTTGTGCTGTATGAAGATGCTGCAAAGAAGCAGATCAAGGAACTCGTTGCGGCACTTCGGGGCTTTCAGAAACTTGTCAAAGCTGTATCTTGTTTCGGCAATTGTCTGCCGCAGCTCAAATCAGCTCGCCTGCGGTCTTTATTGACCTTTGGTAAGCCTTTTTCCTATATAGCCAAACGTTACTGAAAATTGTATACTCTTCTTAGGGAAAGGATTTCCTGATTTGAAGCCTCTTCTGCAGTATTTTGAGGATTCCTTTGACTGGTCGGAGTCAGAAGCAAATGGTCGAGTAACCGGTGGTGATCATAGCAACTTATCGGCATCTGATCCCAGAGAAAAACTCGAGAGCTACCTGAAGAGCCAGCAAAAGTTTTTCAAAAATCCAGAGGTAGCTTGTTTCTCCATTGTACTCATATTGACTGTTGCTCTGTAGCAGATTTCTTACGTGACTGTTGGGAAGGATACTTACCTGCTTGAGATACCCGAAGAGCTGCATACTAAAGTGCCTTCAGATTACGAACTTCGCTCGTCTAGAAAGGTAAACAGCGGCGTTTTCATTGAAAGTGACTAGCAGAGCTAACGTGCAGGGTTTCTGTCGATACTGGACACCAAGAGTGAAAGAGCTGTTGCAAGAGCTTAGCCTTTGTGAAAACGAGAAGGAAGCTGCTCTGAGAGGCATACTCCAGACTCTTACTAAGCGCTTTTGTGACGATCACGATCACTGGCTCTCTGCTATTCGAGCTGTTTCTGGTATGCAAGTTCTGGTATGCAAGCAACAGTCGCTTGATAAACAAAGCTTTCTCTTTCCAGAATTGGATGCTCTTATGAGCATATCGTCTGCCCGGTTGCACATGGATGGAATGACGTGCTTGCCAACGTTTGTCCCAGCAAGTCAACTTGCAAAGCCGGTTTTTAGAGCCAAAGCCTTACGACATCCTATAGTGGCTGTTAGTACTGCTGCAAGCACTCCTTTTGTTCCGAACGATGTTGTTCTCGGTGGCGGAAGCAATCCAGAGGTTATGCTTTTGACAGGGCCCAATATGGGTGGCAAGTCGACTTTGCTTCGTCAAGTATGTCTGGGAATGATACTCGCACAGGTAAAGTCATCTATGATACTTTGGACAAAACTAAAAGGTTTTTGACGCTTCCAGATTGGTTCAGAGGTTCCAGCTGAGTCGCTCGAGCTTTCCCTTACGGATAGATTATTCGTTCGTATGGGAGCCAAGGATCAAATCATGACAGGTCAAAGCACATTCTTGATTGAACTACTGGAAACCGCTGTTATGCTGGTAACTCCTCGACTGTGTTTGAGCGTCCATCTCTAACACCGTCTGTTCCAGCGCTGTGCAACTCAAAACTCGTTTGTGGCTCTGGACGAGCTTGGACGTGGAACAGCAACCTCAGACGGCCAAGCTATAGCGTATGTTTTATTTCATTTGTGTTTCTTAAAAGCCTATCTCCGTTGCTTCTTCTTCCTTTTCTTTTGTTTCCAGGCACGCCGTGCTCCATTATCTAGCACACAACGTCCAATGTCGGGGAATGTTTTCTTCTCACTACCACAAACTTGCAAGCGATTTTGCGAATGACCCTTCCGTAAGCTTTCCGCGTCTGTTGCTGGCCTCATTGTTGGCTGTGGACAGGTGTCTTTGTGCCATATGGCATGCAAGGTTGGAGGTGGAAATAACGAGCTGGAAGCAGTAACATTCCTCTACAAACTCACTTCTGGCTCTTGCCCGAAGAGTTATGGCGTCAACGTCGCACGAATAGCAGGCAAGCGAAAGTTCCCGTCTCATGCACATGTTAGTCGCTCTTTCCATGCAGGAATGCCAGAGAGCGTGTTGCGCAGAGCCGTACTACAGTCTGCCAAACTCGAGAAAGAAGTGGAATCTCACTGTCACGAAGCGGACATCATCAAAACCATCCTCGATGCCTCTGTTGACAGTGCGGAACAACTTCGCACGGCTTGGGAGAAGGCAAAACTTATATAAGCATGAAGGTATAGAAGTTTCTTGCATGCTTAT